AACGCTGGATATTGAAACGCATCGATCTCCGGTTTCTCGAACTCGTAACGGTCGATAGACGCGCTCGAATTTTCGCGACAACGAGGTAGTGATCCGAGTCGATATTAGGACCCCTGAAGGTCCTGACATCTACGACATCCGAGAAATGCCGACCATCCACCAACACGTGGTCGATCTGGGAGCAAGTTTCGCCATTAGGGTGTCTCCAGGTGTGCTTTCGGATATCCTTGCGTGCAAAGTGGGTGCTACTGATGGCCATATCACGAGCAGCAGCGAAGTTTATCAGCTTCAGGCCATTATCATTCGTTGCAGAGCGAAGGCTCTCTGTTCTAATGATTGGGCGAGAGAATTCCTCTCTTCCGACCTGCGCGTTTGCATCTCCGATGACAATCTTCACGTCGTTTTTAGGGCACTCATCATAGGTTTTATCCAGGCTTTCATAAAACGCGTCTTTCACGTCATCGGATTTATCGTTAGTCGGTGCGTAGATGTTGATCAGGTTGTAATTGAAGAATTTGCCACGAATCCTCAAAACGCAGATGCGCACGCTAACCGGTTTCCACCGCATAACCCGCTTCATCTGTTTCCCAATCACTACGAAACCAACTCCGTGTTCTGCTCTATCGCCACCGCGATAGATGTGTTGGCGATAGGATCTACGATGTGTTGGCGATAGGATCTACCGCCCTGAATTCACGTTCTCCAGATCTAAGCCACCCCGTACTTCTTGAATAGCAGCCACACTCACATTCACCTTTTGCAGTTCACGGGCCAGAAGGCCCACTCGTCCAGGTTCATTTAACGTTCTGACATTCCAAGAACCGAGTTTCCATTCATTGTCCTTATTTCGTTGCCGTTGGGTCAGTTGCCGAAAATTCCGTTCGTTTTTTCTTCTTCTTACTTCATTTTTCTGAGTACTTTTATAATTCAGTATGCTACCGTACCAGGATCGCGATACCTGCATCGTGTTGATGGGGCTGCCATCTTAGGTTTAGTTGACACGATTCAACATTTCTTGTTTCAGCCGCTGGATGCCAGACAGACGCTGTTTGAGCCGCACCTGGTGGACAGACGCTCGGGTTATTGTGTAGATTGGGCTGCCATCTTGGATTTAGCTGACACAATACAGCATTTCTTTTTCAGACGCTGGATCCCAGACAGACGCTGTTCGAGCCGCACCTCCTGGTGGACAGACGCTCGACGATTCGCACCTCCTCAGCCTTGCTATCATCACGATATGGGTTAATCGTGATGGCATTGCCCACACCCCGCTACCAGCACATATATGGGCATACCCAAGTAACATTGCAAGTTTTATCGAGGTTTTTAAGCACTCTACAAGTCTAAATCATGGTCTACAGAACCCGGATAAAACCCAAGTTGTTACTTGGGATATACTGGCTGTCATCATCCGACACGTGGAAGCGTGAGGTAGGAGCTTGTGAAGACCAGAGCTATATTGGACGCTCTTTCCCCTGTGGTCCTCACCATTTTGGGGTGGGAAGATAACAGATTACAAATGGCAAAAGACAGACACATTCTTACCATATTACGCTCAAAAATTAAAGCTCCCAACTAAATTGAAAGCAACACAACCGCAGAATTCAAGTCAAAAAGAAAATTTTACTACAATGATAAAAAATCAAACATTTTTTTATGTATCCACTTATGGATATTTGCAATAGAACCAAACAAATGATTTCACTGTATCTCACACATATATTCTATGTCTGAGCATCAATAAGGTGTGAGATCACATATACATTTCATGGTGCTCATGAATGTCATGGGATTTCACTGTGCCTTTTGTTTAGGTGGTCAACCCATGCTCAAAAGATCGAATCAAAATAAAACCGATCAACTGTGTACCACTCAAGTCATCCGAAACACCGCTAGTAATACCTCCATAAACGTCAAAAAATGATTAACAATATAAACTCACGGATCAAATTGCCTAATTTTTTGTCACCTTCACGCACAACACAACGTTTTGTCTGTGTTTCCTCTTCTGTTTTCCATATATCTTAGCTCTCAGCCTGTCAGCTCCCATTAGTCGCTATATATGACTCCATCAAATCGCTGCACTATGGGCAAAAATGGGTCCAAAATTACCCAAAATTCAATATCTCAACAGCACGCAGAATTCCTGCCATGAAAAACAACTTTTCCGAAGGGAAATTGTCCGGGGAATCGATTGCACGTGGTCCCATAGACCGGAGAGCCTTGTAGGTATAAGTTTTGGACCATTTTACCCCATTTTCCCCTACTTTTTGGAGGAAATGTTTTTTCACAGCTCTATTTTTCGTAAAACATAAGCACTTTATGCATGGTTTTAGAATACTACGTCTTTAAACAACAGTTAATGAGATATTAGGGGAATACGGGGTACACTGTATAGGGGAGTAAGGGGTCAATGTGAAAATCCAATCAATGTTTTTTTTTTAATACAAAATCAATTCTTTTAAGTATCATAATATTTTTTCTGAATTTTTTTTTTAATTAACTTTCATTTGGTACTTTGAGTTCCGTCATCAGCCAAACAGTTCAAAAGTTATAAATTTTTGAAAAAAATCGTTTTTTTTTTTTTTGACAGCTTGAATATATAAATAGTTACCCTAATGACAAAATACAAAATATGGGTCTAATATGTTGCGATAAGGAACAAAACTATCAATTTTTACAAAATTCTGAGAACCACTATATCGTTTTGCTGTATACAGACAAAAAAAGTGAAAACTCTTTTAAAACAGATAGCAGTAAATTAAAACTTATTTAACCCCAATTAACCTTAAAATTTCGAAAACAAAATCTTATTATTGCAGGCAACCTTTGGGGTCATTCAAACAATCGCATCATTCAACATTTATATGAATTAAAATAAATTTAACGAGGGTTCACTTTTACCCCTTACTCCCTTATAAAGTGTACCTCGTATTCCCATAATATCTCATGAACTGTTGTTTAAAGACATTGTTTTAAAAAACCATGCATAAAGTGCTTATGTTTTACGAAAAATAGAGCTGTGAAAAAATATTTCCTCCAAAAAGTAGGTGAAAATGGGGTAAAATGATCCAAAACACATACCTACAAGGCTCTCCGGTGTATACGACCACGTGCAATCGATTCCCCGGACGATTTCCCTTCAAAAAAGTCGTTTTTCAAGGCCGGAATTTAGCGTGCTGTTGAGATATTGAATTTTGGGTAATTTTGGACCCATTTTTGCCCATAGTGCGCTGGAGCGACCCCCAGACAAGCGCAAACAATCGAGATTCACCGGCTGAAAACCGACCACGCAGCAACAACAGAAACTGCATTCATCCTCACTGCCGGTCATGGTTCTGAAAATATAAACCCGCGAGACCTGATTTGTCCCCCCGCATTTGTAGCTCCCCGCGTGCGCGTGGGTCTTGGTTATTTCATTAGACCAGCAACGAAATGACTACCATAAGAGCTCAAAATCTCATTTCGTTGGTAATAGGCACCGATTAATCGCGTCCATCGCACATTTTTGGACACATTTTCAATTCACCCAGTGGAGTCGAAATTGGCAAATCCGGTGATTCGAAACGACCCACAGTGAAGCAGAATCGGGTCGCGCCCGAGGAGGGACAGGAGAAGCTGCTCCATCTTATTAATTTCTTATTAACCGTTAAAATGTACACCTTCGTCACGCGCACGTTGTTGGGCCCTGTCATTCCACGAGAAGAGGTCCAATTCGAAGAAACCGAAACGATGCCGGTCAAGCAACATCGGCTATCACATGGTAATCATTGCGGTGCGGGAGTTGTTCAGCGAGCACCCACTTGGACCGCATCCACGCAGATAAACTTTAATTTTATCGCCCTTGGATGGCGCGTGGTGTGGTCACGGTTACAATGTTTGCGGTTGACATTTTCGAATGATGGATGTGTCGCAAAAAGGTGGTTAGATTTCGGGTCCTGGTAATTTTTTTTTATGGTTTTGTTTTCGATGGTCGATGGATGTAATTTAATATAGACCTTTTAAGCTTACCCATTTACTTAGCGGCAAAGAAACTTTTCAATCAAAGGCAAAGGAATTAAGAGAAGAAAACAGAAGAAAGAAGAAGAATGCAAACTCCTTTGTAATCCTCTTTTTAATTATTGAATAAAAAAAATATGGATCGGCTCCGTTAAGCTAACGCGATTTAGTCTTGCAAATAAATGAATGGGGAAAAATCTAAACAATTTCATAAAACTGTAAACATTAAAACTCTACGACTGTATTAGATATTGTAAAACTCTACGACTGTATTTGATATTGTAAAACTCTACGACTGTATTTGATATTGTAAAACTTGAGTACAGTTCCCATTTCCGCAAAACTTAACTTATTCAGTTAAAAAGAGGCTTATAGAACTTTTAATCAGTTATGGTACCATTTAACACACACTGTAGCAAACAGCTAAAGTTAATTATAAATAACGTTACTAAAAAATACTCTGGATGATCACATTTCATAATCCGTATGGCGGTGATTTGTGACATATACCGCATACCTTCCACGCAAAGTTGTATGAGAATCTTTTATTTTCTAGCTGGATGATAACTTTCAATAATCTTTTCAATATCGTTTTAGAGAGTTGATTGTAGAACAAATTATAATTAGTCGGAGACGAGCCAGCCAACGGCTGAAAGTCTCCTTAATAAAGATTAAAAAAAATAGAACAAATTATGAAATGTTTACAGCTAAATTTTAAATATGACGTGCACTGTTCAGCAACAATTATTCAGAAATAATTATATCTACACGCAATGAATAGTCATACATTTATTAAAATCTGTATTCAAATTTATACCGAACCAAAAAAAAAACTAAAATACATGTATCTTGAACATCCCAAAAAATATTAATTCCCCAACCAACCACCAGATGTCAGAACTTGCTCCCACATTACCCAAGACCATAACCTTCTCAACAAAAGAAAAGAAACCCCGCAAAACTTATCGTTTCTTTCTCTCCCCTTCTCGGTTTCTTTACAGCGAATCTACAAGAAAACGCCAGCATTAGCACGGCAAACGCTTCGCCTCGCAACTACACCAAAACCTGAAACCACTCTTTATAAGCAAACGATCCGTACTCTCAACGCGACGACGAAGCACCGAACACTGAGAGGAAACGGATCCAATCAGCAGGCATAAACGACAAAACCGTAGGACCAATTAGGTTGCTCCTCGAGCAGAGAGAGTATTTTAATTAAGACAAACATTTCATCAACCCCGATAGGGATCAGGTGGTTGACGGAGGGGACAACATTAGTGCTTGCACATTGCTACCCACAAAAAGAAACCAAAACTCGGATTGATTGGATGTGGTAGTTCCGGTTTTGCGTTGGTTTAAATGTAATCCGTTACATTTATTGGAGCTAAGCAGAACGGTCCTTTCAGACATCAGTTAGTAGGTGAAGAGAAACATAAGAGTACGAATAGAAGAATGCGAACAAACGCAATGATGGGCACTCGAACAATTGTAATAGCGGGTGAGTAATGGATTTTATGAAAAATATATGTAAGTTCTAAACTTAAGCGACAAAATTTAAAAAAAAAACACTGAGTGAACAAACCTAGAATAGCTCATACGGTTGTATTGTGAATTATTACCACCAGAAATATATTCATTGGGATATCAACGGTTAATAAAAATAAATTTCAATGATTCTTAGTGAAAAGATAGGGGAAATGAGTCTAATGTTGGCCTATGGATCAAAGATTGGGTCCGTCGTTAAAATCTGCTATCTATCAATTTTATCTAGATGAACGCGTCATTGGAACGGTACTAATGGATATTTTTGGTCGCTATTTAGTCGATTGCTGAATTTATGTATGGGCCCAAATTAGGGGCATTTAGGCCGACATTACATCCATTTCCCCTACCTCATTTATTACAAACAAAAAATCGAAGCAGAATTTAAATCACGCAGTTTTTGAATATCAGGCGTCCCAAGTAACCAAAAGTTCGGCAATCAACAATAAAACTCACTTCTAAGTTCCATAAAGTTCATATAAAGTTCCGACAGAACTTTCATGTTTCATAAAGTTCATATAAAGTTTCGACAGAACTTTCTTCCCAAGCAGCCAAAAGTTCCGCATTCAACGATAAAACACACTTTCGAGTTCTATAAAGTTCCGATGCGTACTCATAGCAACTTGAAGTTCAAAAAAGTTCCGAAAAGCATAACTAAGCACTTCTTAGGAACTCCAGGCAAGGCTGAAAACAAGGCCACAACAAAGTTCCGAACAAGTTCCCAGCGGAACTTCTTAGCAACTTTGAAGTAGCTTAAAAGTTCCCTGCGGAACTTCTTGTCAACTTGAAAGTTTCTAAAAAGGTTCGTCATAGCCCACATGAAGCATGGAATACCATGCGGGCAAACACCAATTTAAAATTCACCAAGGTGTTGTGTTTCGTATTCAAGTCAGCTGGCACTGAAAACTCCAACAGTAGGCGGGACAACAGCTCACTTTAATATATCTCAGATGACGTAGCGGTTCATGCTGGGGCTCTCACGCAGAAGGACTGTGTCTAATTCTTCAAACAGCTCCAATACTAATACTAATGCTGATAAATCAATACACGTTCATACCTGCGTTTAGAAATAACATTCATAAAGACCTGACTTTAGAATTATCTTTCATAAAAGTGCGAACTAAATATACAATTGGTGCAGAGGACAAAGACCTTTTTTTTAACTTAATTTCTAAAAGTTTCGTTTAAGTTCCACAAGAAGCTGCTTGGAATGCTCTTCAATTATGGTACCGGAACTTTCAAAATGAGGCTGCTTAGAATTCTATAGACCACCTTCAACCAAGCTGCTTAAGCCACAAATAGCCTTTTATCAGAACTTTCAGTTACTTGGGGTACTCTTAGCTGCACGTCGGATGTGATAGACTCAACTCAAGTGATTTTTAACTCAAAATCACAAAAACGTTGATTACTCATAGACTGAGTAAAATGTTCCACGCTTTTTCTCAAAAATCTGCTCGAATATGAGCTAAAACGACGAATATTTTGCTCAGTCTAGGAGTATACTAAAAGACAGAGTGAAAATTATTTCGATTTTCCTCCAATACTAAATGTTTTTTCCTGGAAAATCGAGGAAAATTTTACGCATATTGACCCTTCGTATGTTCCAAAAAAACTAACGTTGTCTGTACCTTGGGATCAATTTGAACCCAAATTCAAATCGCTCAGCAAAGGTTCAACGTATTTTTCAAATTTGTAATACTTTGTAAAGTAAATTTAATGTGCTTTCAGTTTGAATTATTGAAAATTGATTTAGAAGACGGATCCCACATAGTTTTACAATGTGGGGTCCCCTCGAGAGATCCGACCCTCCAAAAAAACCTGATAATTTGAACAAAAATTCACAGGGTGTCCTTTCAAATCAAATTTTTCAATTCCCGGTTTTTTCTCGGTTATTTAAAAAAAAATCCAAACGTCATCCCTGCTTAAAACAAAAAAGACATTAAAAAGAACCGTTTATAGATAATCATATAGGGGAAATGGCTCTAATGTTGGCCTATGGATCTAAGATTGGACCCATGGCTAAAAATCTGCTATTTATTAATTTTATCTAAATGGACGCGTCATTGGGACGGTACTTATGGATATTTTTGGTCGCTATTGAAAATTTAGTCGATTGCTGAATTCTTGTATTGTCCCAAATTAGGGGCATTTGCCGACATTTCATCCTTTTCCCTAATTATTTTTTTTAATTTATCTCTGGATCAATCATCTCATGATTTGTTTTCGGCATGCACAGAGTTTGAGATCGGACACTGTTTTTATAGGCATAAATGTGCTTCTCTATCTTAAAATCGAGCTTCAAGTAGTTTCGTAACAGGATATATCTCGCTCAGGCTTTATGCTAGAACTACTACACTCGGAAAACTGTACCAAAATAATTCAAACACGTTTCTTCCAAAAGTAATTCTAAAAATTTACTGTGTAGGAACAACGACAAAATCGCCATTTTCCCCGTGTCCCAACAGATTGTGATTGAATGTAATTAATAGAGTTTTTGTAATTTTGAGGATTTTTTATACATAATATGAAAGTTGTAAACAGATGTGTAAACAAGAGAATATTTTTATGTATATGATATAAAATTGATTGGTTCCAATTATCATTGCAAGCGTTATAAAGGTTTAAAGGATATTCTTCAAGACCAAATTATGGCCTACAAGACTATTATAAAACCAAAATTGTTACTTGCGATGAGTCTATATGATCTTTCTCAATGCGATTTGGGTTTTCCCGCATTTTTATCCGGGCAAATCCGTATTCTCGGGTTTTTTTTTCGGATTTTCCGGTTTTCCCGGAATTCAACAAAATTTTCTTTGCAAATCATTTGAAATTTCAGAAATGCATTGAAATTTCGTTAAGACACGGCAATTTGAACTTGGGGTCAAATTGAGTAAGTTTTTTGTAGCAGATTTCTGCTACTATTACAGGGCTCCGCACCTAGTCACGCAACAATTAGTAAAATCCAACGACAAATGAAAAAAGTTGTTGCCTTTCAAAGTGGCCAAAGTACACAGAACAAGGGTTAAACAAATTGAAAGAGCGGTGATAGAGTGTCGGTGAAAGGGATTGAAAGCCATAATGAGGTTTCGTTTAACTCGAAAATCGATGTTACTATCATTGAAAGCGATGAGCAAAGCAACGACGAGAAAATCCATAGCCAGCCTTTCGTTGAAAGCGTGCTTCTTTTTCATTCATCAATTATTTTTACCGAAATCTGAACAGCTAAACTGTTCGGTAAAATTTATGCAATTTAATTCAATTGCTTTTCAGTTACCTTGAAACTAAATCTACACTAAAATGACAAGATTTGATCATTTAAACAAGGTTGAACATGTTTTAAAATTATTTTTCAATTCAATGGACTTTAAAATGAAGGTCAAAGTTTTACTGAACGTTCAGCTGTTCTGATTTCGGTAAAATTTACCGAACACGAAAACAAAACGTTAGTGTGTGGTGCTTGCTTAAGAAACACTTTAATGACCTTAGTAGTTGAAGAACATGGGAATTTAAATCGTTTTCATGAAATTTGGAAAAACGGATCAAGTATCCGCACCATGGGGAGACTAGATCCCTTATAGCATTAAATGATTGGATATCTAGTATTGCGTGAAAAAAATAAACAAACTTCACCAAACTTCAAACCATCTAGGGTAGATATTGACCCTTCTTACCATCCAAAAACTAATAATTTTACATGAAATCGCACAGAAGGAAAGTACTACTGCTTTGTCCATATTTTTTTTGAACTTCTTCTCTGTGATTGTTTCTTTCTTGGGGTAGGAATCTATCATGTGTCCCTCCTGTTTATTGATGAAGCATTTGTTTTTAATTCCGTCATACAGTATTTAGTGTATCCTTTGCAAGAATAATACACACAGCAAAAAATCGGGCGATTTTGCGCTTGGCTTGGCAAAAGCAACGAACTTGTTCATAAGCTTATAAAGACTGGAACGCGCAAAAAATGGTCGACAAAAAAATCGTTTCTTTCAGTCAAAACTCATATCACATATTTTTCTTTTCGTAGTTAAATTCATATATTTAAAATAAAAAAATGTTCGTTGGTTTGGTTAACCCCTTCCATTAAATTTTGCAAATTGGTCTCATCGACCTTATTCGCCGCCGAACGCCAGTTAGATTTAAACTGCTGCTCGTTTTCCATTGATTTTTTTTTTTTTTTTTTTTTTTTTTTTATTCCACCAAGGTCCAATACCGTTCGATAGGGCGGAGTTCTGGGCTGTTGGGAGGGTTGTGGTCTTTGGGTACCACAACCACGTTGTTCGCATCGTACCACTCGATTGCCTTTTCCCATAGTGGCAGCTCGCCAAGTCCGGCCAGAACAGCACAGGTCTATTATGTTGCTTTAGGAATGGTAGCAGCCGCTTTTCCAGGCACTCCTGGACGTAGATCTCTTGATTGATGGTTCCCGTAGTAATGAAAATGCCGCCTTTAGACCACACGTGCATATGGCCTGCCAGACGAGATATTTTTTCGGGAACTTCGATGGTTTTGAAAATTTCAGCCACCTTGCCTCCTGGAAATCCGCCTTCACATAAGTTTAGTCGTCCATGACGACACAGCCGAACTTTGTGAGCAGATTCGTATACAGTTTTCGGGACCGCTGCTTTGCCAACTAGTTTTGTTTGTAATCTCGGTTCGTCACCCTACCTTAAACGTCGACAACCAGGCTCGTTTCTTGGCCCGCTGCACAGTAGTATGGGAGCTTGCCAGCGACGTCCCGGATGGAGAGCTTATATATCACCGCCACCTTCTTCGTCGTCGCTGCCACGTCCGGATTACGATTGCCGCCGCTTCCAGGCTTCCTGGCTGTCGACATACGCTCCCCAAACACTTTTAAAACGTTTGTCACGGTCGATTTGGCCACATCCAGCAGGGTGTTCATTCAAATTCCATTGGTCAATTCCCGGTTTGAAAAAAAAACTCTACCTTTAACAAAAAAGGCGTTCAAAAATAACCCTATAGAGATAATGATAAAATTCTGTCAGCAGAATTCCTCTACAATATGCAGGGCTGGTAGTGGGTTTTTATACAATAGTATTGACTGCAATAACGAAAAAAACGTGACCAAATAGTGACTTTAAAACAATAAAAAAGTGACCAATAGTGACATTTATTGATCGGAAAGATATTAAAGATATGGATCTAATCTGTCGTTGAATGAGATCCGTTTTGACAAATATTATAAATTCTCAACCCACCATGAGCATTTTAAAAGCTTTTTTTTTAATAAAACAAATGGTTGAAGCATCTTAAAAATTTGTTTTCGTAAAATCAGTATTCATTGGATAATCAATTGGTTAATTTGTAACCTCCATTTCCACACACAGTACTCTTTTTTCAGTAACGATTTTTTGGAAAACAACCGTTGAAAATTTAGAGCCAGATCGCGAATTGGTTGAATATCGGGATGTGAAAGATTGAACAAAGAAATTTATTAGGAAATCTTGAAATTGAAAAAAAATTAGGCGCAGAGAAAAATGTTTAACGCCTTGGACAAATTTATCCATTTTAAGACAAGCAATTTTTTGTTCTTCATCAGCAGTTCTTTCGATCGATGAGTCGTCGACTTTGGAAAGCAACCGTTTCGTGATGAGTGTGTGAGTGCTGACCACGTTTTGCGCCCATTGCTGCAATGGACGCGCTCTGACCCTCGTTGGCGTAACTGCCATACAATGAAACTACTGGAAGCAGCTCCAGTTCTGATGGATGAGGCTTTTTGGATAGCGGAAGATAAAGTGTTTATTGTGTTGTACCTTTTGACTATAGTTTTAAGATGTATTGTATAGTGACCAAGAATCCTCGGCTCTGTAAAGTTCATTCGTTTAAGCCTTATCAAATAAATTAATAAACAAACAAAAAAGACAAGCAATTTTAAAGATCTCGAATATAGAAACTTCTGTAAAACTTCAAACATAGACACATTTTCATATCTCTGGAACCTAGAAAAGTGTTCTGGATCGTATCAATAAATATCATTATTCTGGAACGACGAAAATTTTCGCGAAAAATCTCGATCTTCAATAAAGTTGTAAGATTCTGGTATACATTTTAGAGACAATTACATTTTTTGTTTAATGCTGGTACTTAGTAATTCGCGACCTTTAATTCAAACAAATTAAGAAAGCGTAGAATAATTTACGATATTTTAGAATTTAAGTTCACAATCCGAAAAAAAATTTAATGTTTCTAAAATATAGAAGAGATTTCATGATTTTAAACATAGAATTTATCTGAAATCTGGGATTGGAAATTTGTTGGTTCCGGACTTGTAGAAAATACAATTTGATGGGATTGGAAAAGAACTACATGATTTTTCGATGTTTTCCGATACTAATGCTTCCGGCCTTCAAAGATTTATCGAAATTCAGGTCTTTGAAAAATCTCTAGCGCTTGCAAAGTTTCCCAGACCGTTTTCAACATATTAGGCTTGGAAAACTTTCAAGATGACTAAGAGATATCGCATATCGGAACCAGAGTTTATTTTTTCGAAACTTCAGAAAATTTGTGATATCTCGAGATCATAGACAATGGAAAAAATTTCAAAACTTGTTTTTTCGTTTTTTTTTTGCAGTTGTCTAACCTAGTTTTCCAGTTTAATTGAAACAGTTAAATATGGTAAAATACCCCAAGTATCATCACAAGTTTTATCGCATGATAAAACCCAAATCCTTGCTTGAAGCATATTTTATTATTTCGCTCAACTGTTGACCCTAAAGAATACAGTATGTAATATGTAGTAAGAGCAAAATAAGTTATTCTCAATTGTGGATTGGAATTGCAAGGAAATTCCAATGATGATGATTTTTGAAATAATCTTAAAAGAATCTTTACAGGATTCCAAGAGGATGATTTGAGAATTCTTAGCAAAATTTCAAGGAAAGTATTTTTTATTTATAGTAATTTTCACACTCTCGGATCATTCGTGCATTATCCGGGTGAGATTTAAATTCATGATTTTGAAGTGAGAGATATGGATTCAGATCTTTATGTTTTACAGACTAACCTCGGTATTCAAAGATGTCCTAATATTGGTATCTGGTTAGCACAAAGTGCAGAAATTAATGTTTAATTTATCTCTATGTCCGGCATCGAACATTTGCATGCCAAGCATGATCGGAGTTTGCAAGGAGTTTGAGACGGCTTGAATCTGCTTCTCTATCTTGAAGTAGCTTCGTAACATGATATGTCTCGCTCAGCCGTTATACTGAAACTACTTCACTCGGAACACTAAGCAAAAGAATTCAAGCAATGACACCATATGCATTCCAATGACACCACATGAAATTCTATAAACTTAGCTATCTTAGTAGGAACAACGACAAAATCACCACTTGATCCGGGCGCGAATATAATTATGTATGTGATATAAAGTTGATCGATTCCGAGTAACATTACAAGTTTAAAGGTTTAAAAGATTCTTCAAGACCAAATTATGGCCTAAAATGAAAATTGTTTCTTGAGATGAGTATACCTATCGGTATATGATCATTTTGAAAACTGAAGAGCAAACGGTGAAAACTCATCATAGCAACCATTGTATAAACACTCAACTTCCAAATGCAGCATTTCAGGTTTTTTTTATGTATTTTTAACAGAAACACACCAATTTGAAGTTGACCAATTTTTGCGCGTTCCAGACTTTATACAAACATAAATGTATGCCGAATATCGTGTAAATTTAAGTCATCTCAAAAGAGCGAAAATTGCTCAAATTATGCGATAAGTGAATTTTAACCTACGAGTATCTCGAAAATAACAACTTTGGGCAATTTAAGCATTATGAGCTTTTTTGTTGTAAATTTGATGTGTTTTAATATTAACACTATTTTAAAGATATTCGATAACTGTAGGTGGTATTTTGAAAAATACTTTACAATTATTTTTTTCATAACTTTTTTGTTTATGATTTGCCCAGCAAATGCACAGTGTCAGTAGGTATAACTTTATATAAACTACAAAATAAATATAAAAAAATAATTTAAAAAAAATGCAATTTGAGTAATTTTAATTTTTTTTTTTTTGATAATTTTGCTTTTTTTTGTAAAAAAAAAAATTCTAATTTTTTACAGTGTATATTTTTTTCTTGGAAGGCACAATACTTGTCCGCAACTTTTTCGAAGACACCATCTCGATCAAACAAATCGTTCACGAGATATATATTTTTCTATTGATGCGTATCATTTTTGCATAAGCCCTTTTCAAGTGTTAGTCGTGTGCCAAACTAGGGAACCATATATGTAAAATGGCATGTTGGGCAATAAGAAACAACTGTGCAAAGTTTCATCATAATCGTAAAAGGTCGATCGGAAACGATTTGCGAATCTGTGTTGGAACTGCTCAGTAGGGTATAAATGTATCACTTATACTGGCAATCGACCATTTAATTATAAATCGACCATCGAGTTAGGAAGGATATGTGTCTGGAAAAAAGTTTCCTCCCTCGATGGCAAATTCTCATCACAAACATATATTATCATTGTAGCGACCCTAAATCCTGGTCGATTTGGTTAATTTTCCAAGACATAATCCAGCAAAATTTGATAAGTGTAGTGGCATTCAGCAAACAACGCAATTCAGTAGTCTCTTTCGTTGTACTCTATCGTCCGTAACAGGAACTGAAATGTTATCCATTGTAACAATATCTATTTTCTTCTACTCCACAGTGTTCTGTCTGCTGACGGTGTTCCTAACCGTCTCCACAGCACAGTCACAATATTACTCTGAGCAGCAGCAGCAGCAGCAGCATCAGCAACAGATACAGCAATATGATCCAAACACACCTCCACAGCACCCTGGCGAGCACATTTCGGGCCGCCGGTTCAAACGGATGTACGCCATGTGCCCGCCGCACTTCTTCCGCATCGGCAACGAGTGCTACTTCATTTCGCAGAGCAGACTAAACTGGCTGGATGCGCACTTTGAGTGTAAAGATCGCAACAGCAAGCTGGCCGAACCGATGAAGTACGACGACAAGAATTTGAGAAAGTTCCTGCAGACAACGAAGGGTGGGTAGAGTTGTGTGGTTTGGGGGATGAGGAATTATATTCTGGGAAAACTAACTTGCGAAAGTTTATCATTTCAGAGAAGAACTTTATCTGGATCGGTGGCAACTACAACTGGAGGGCCAACAAGTGGCAGTGGGGCTACAATGGAAAGGACATCGGATATCAGTCCTTCAGTCAGATGGTTCCTGGGTAATTATATTGCATCCGAGTGGTGCCTAACTAGAATGACGTGTCAAAAGCGTCGTCAGCCGAAGATATGCGTTGTTAGTTCCATTGTTTATGAGCATTTTTTGCAGGAGCAGCCAGGATTTGAAGTTCCACTGTGCAGTGCTTAGCCCTGAAGTCAAATTCAGGTAATTATATGGATATATGTGTGTGTATTTTTTCGTGACAGTTTAAATGCCTACGTCGTTCGTTCCTCCTCGACTGAGACTGAGTGATGAATGCATCCATTTTTTTTATCTCTCTGTTAACTGCATACGACAAGCGGAAACAACATTAAGAACTCTAAATAAATAGAAGCTTTGAGCTATGCTATTTGGCTTTCATTTGGAAACTTTTACGATTTGGAAGAAGAGCCAAATCAAGGACCTGCATCCGTTGACGCTCACTTTTATGTTTTAATGCATTCAAACAATTTCAAATAGGGTGTCCAGAACGAAACTCGTTACAACATGGCTACCTCTCGATGTGACTCTGGGCACCCGACTCGCTTTTCAACCATGTATTAATTCATTCATTGCAACAACAAAAAAGGAAAAACTTCTGCCTGTCAGTTTCTAATGAAGCAAAGTCGTTTTTCTCCATCCGAACATAATACACCCAACCCTTTTTGTACGCGGGTACACTTTTCCAATTTTTTATTTCTGAGGTGAACTTAGAAAATGTCTTTACTTTTCATTGATTTTTTGACACCAATTTGGGGTTTTAGTTGAACATCGGAAAAATATACCGCGTTAATAGGTTGGGTGTATTCAAACAAAAACGGCCAAACTTTCGGGCAACACAGCTGAAAGGTAACGCGACATTTTCAAGCATGTTTCTGTTGGTGAAATTTTTTTCCGGGAAAAAAAAGTATCCTCTGACTAACCTCAGGTCTCAGTTGCGATTCTGTATTTATCTTGCTTGGTGGCAGTAATTGAAACCTGGTCTGTGGTGGTAGCTTGAATGGAATTGGTAGTATGGGAGCAACTAAATGCGCGCATTTAACAAAGGCACTCCAATTGCACTAGGCACTTTCCACTAACACTTTTTTTTTCGTACAACAACGTAGAAAAATCAATCAACATCCCAGCTGAGAGCAATAAATCTAATGTCGGTTTTCCGTCCGGTTATCGGAACCGGTTCCCTCTCCTTTTCATTGCAGATGGTCAGCCAAGATATGCACAGAAAAGTTAAATTTCATCTGCCAGCACAAGATGCCGTTCGTGAACAGCCACAGCCGCAGCAAGGTCTACACCCGGTGGAATGAAACCTTCCCGAACGAGCTGGCCAACGAAGTCGAGGTGGTCGTGGCCAATCAACCACGCAGCAACAAGCAGAGGTAAGTGTCCTGGTTGCGATGGAGCAGTTTGTTGGAGCAGTTTGACCTAACGCTGTTGATTTTGTTTTTTACAGGGACTTCTACCGTACGAGCAGCAATAGCACTGTAAATTCAACGGTATTGTACAACCGATTCAAGAACAAGAAACAATCCAACCGAGCCCACCGCATCAAGGCATCTCGCGTTAAAAACTTTATCGGTAACGACGTTATCCGTCAACCGGTGGTAGGGTACGTCCAATCTCACAACTCCATTAACGGGAACGGAAACGGTTACCATAACGGTAATGGAGCCTTCATGCGCGATTTCAACGTAGATATTCATCCCCAGAAGAAGATAAACCGCAAGTACGAAGCCGACAACGGCGAGTCCCGTCCACACCAGCATCGTCATCACTTAACAGAGCCCAACGCTCGTCCAGCAACCGCAGCACCTGCATCAGCGACGACTACAGTGACTACGACGACGACGACTACACCGACAACCGCCGCACCGGAGACCTTGCCAACGGAAGCCTTACACGTGGTTACCGAAAACTACCAACCAAACCAGCCGCAAGAGAACAAGATGTCTCGTCGCGATAAGCTCCGGGAACGGCTGGCTCGACTCACACCCGAAGAACGGAAACAGTTCTTCGCCAAGCGTGGCACGACTACCGAAAAGTACCAACCGAATCAACCGCAACTGTCGCACGGAGAGAGGAAGGATCGCCGCAACAAGCTCCGCGAACGACTCGCGCAGCTCACGCCCGAAGAACGGGACATGTTCTTCGCCGAGCGTGCCAAGCGAAAACGGGTCAAGAAACAACGAGCCAAAAACGAAACCATTCCGTAAGTGCGCTGCCAAGCAGCGATCCGACTCCGTGGGAGGCAAGCATGTTTGTGTAGAAAGAAAGAAAAAAAAACGTTGAATACATTGCCTCAAGAGTCCTTCCCAGTGATGAGAGAGATAGAGAGAATGAGAAACGGGGAATAGGTCGTAAACCCAAGGTTTTCGCTTACACCTTTTCCCACTCTCATCTCGTAGACTCTCAAGATTGACCAATCTACAGAGAAGCAACAGATTTAATAATATATTGAAAAGCGGTTCCTAAAGTCTGTCTTATTATCAGATAATCTATCATTCTTCCGCTCAAACAGAAATGATTACAAAATACACACACACATACACACACATATCCTTCCTTCAACTACTACTAGAGGAAATCAGAGTTTTAAAAATAAGAAGCAATCTTCTGAATACTAGTACTCGTTCAAATGGACGATTCTGTCATGCCATTAATTTAACTCAGTTCATCTACGAATATGTAATACCATTTAAGGATACAGTTAACTACGTAACAATTACCTTCGAATCCAAATGAACGAACCTTTTTTGTTGTTTATTTTCCAGTTTAGATTAAATGTTACTAAAAGAGAACTATTTTCAATAAATAAAACAAAATCAAGCGAAAAAAAAATGTCAACCAACAGTCATTATTTGTTAAGTTGAAGTGAATTGAACGTTTTCGATATATTCCGTATGCAATTACGCGTCAACATCCAGCAACAAGTAGACTAAAAGCACTTAAGTAGAAAGAGGAACAATCTCGTTACGGTTAGCGAAACCAATTTAGAGGACAGAGTTTGATATCCATTTCTTTAGACCAGTCAGTACGCACCGCATCCAGTGAATTAGTGCAACGCAATGCTAATGAAGAAGAAAGAGAAAAAAGCTTAATCGAAAAAGAAAAAAAAACGAGAACATTAACAATTTGCCATATTAACATTAAGTTTTAAACTAAATATGAGCAAACAGGAAGTCAATATGAAAAAAAAGCTAAATTTTAATATGTTAAATAATTCTCTCGCCCCCTAAGATCATAGTGAGTAAGTGAATCAGCCAACAAGTGAGCAAAAATGCGAACGGCTTTGAAATTCGGAAAAAGAAGTTGGATCGTTGCGAAAAGAAAAAGAAAAAAAAAACAAGGAACAAGAAATTATGAAAATATACAACGACATCTGTTGACAGTATTTTTTTTTGTTCGATTCGGAGAATGGAAGCAAGTTTACAGAAGAGAAGAAAAAATGTAATGTAAACCTATGAATAAAGCTAACGATGATAACGTGGGAGATGTCGAGTACGCAAAAACGGTATTTGAATGAGATTGCAAATAAATAAATCTTGAGATATAGGTGGGACGCTTTTCTTTTCGACAGGGGTGGAAAGGTTCATGAGCAGTAAGCTCCGCATTTTCTAATTACTATAATTCATAAAACTTTTATTTTTTTTTAGTCATTGGGTCTTCAGTAAGACAACCTTAGACCACATTGTTTCATCTGATCAACCATATTTAACCAATTTATCATTGTATGGACAGTCCCATGTGTCCCATTTTTTTTAAATCATAAATTTAGAACCGCTGGACCGATTTTTTGGAAAAATATGATTATGAGCTATACGTGGTTTGCATTAAAAAACATTGATTTAAAATCGATTTTCATGATTTTCGTGACCTTAGGACCAAAGGCACTATTGCATTTTTTTCCGATTCTGAGCTACAATTTTTCTAAAATATTAAGTATTGAATAATAATTATGAGCAAAAACTAAACACTAACAACGTAAAAAAAAGTGGGTCAAATAGTTTTCGATAAGAAATAAAATTACCAATTATTACGAAATTCTATAATGCACCCTATTTTTTCTATGGAATTACTGATTATGACGGTGAATACGGGCCTTAATACCAGATATGAAAAAAACGGTACCAAACCCATCATGCGACACATCAAATCACATGAGAATCAAAAAAACAAGATCAAGGGCAGTCAAACTGTGTGCACCGGACCACATTAGTCACATCCGGACAGGATCCAGGTACCCCCGAGGAAGTGATCAACTGAATCAAATCCCATCATGCGACACTTCAAATCACATGAGGCCAATTCCAGGCCAAATAGGACAAAAACATAAAAATGTTGACTCAAAATTCTCCGATCTGCATGAAACTTTGCATAATTCTCGCGTAACATGAGAAAAGGGCCTATTGAACGATTATTTTCATCGATTTTCTATTTCGCGAATAACACGACTGCAAATGCATTCTCGATCAAGTTTTGTTTTTTTTTATTGCTTTATTAGTGAGATTTTTAGCACAATGGCTGCTTCATCTTATGAAAAAAGTGTGTTGTTTTAGGCACAAGTTAACATCTTCTTCTGTCGAACTGTCTTGCGAGCATAGCGAGAAATTCGTGTATGTTGCCGTGGTAAACCAAAGAGAAAGTCGATGAAGACAATCGATCAACGAGGATAGGCCCTTTTTAAATGATACGCGAGAATTGTGTGTTATGGGCAATCATTCATATTTTTGGAAAATTTCGGCCGTTTTGGACCTTGCATTTTATTAAAAATGGCGTCATTAAATTTTTCCAATAGATTGTAGCACTAAAACGTGATTTCTGATCGAATTGACGTCTGAGACAAATTTGTATAGTGAAATGTCTTTCTTGAAAAAAACATACGAGAAATGGATGTAATGTCAGCCTAAATGCCCCTAAATTCAGCAATCGACTAAATTTTCAATAGCGACACAAAATATCCATTAGTACTGACCCAATGACGCATTCATCTAGATAATATTGATAAAGAGCAGATTTTTAGCGATGCGCTCAATTTTAGATCCATAGGCCAACATTAGAGCCATTTCTCCTATATTACAAAATTAACGTTTTAGTAATTTTGAAAAAAAAATTAAAAAATGTAACACTTTAACTGCAATATCTCGAAAAGTATAAATTCAATATTTATAATTTATTTATTTTTAAAAAAGCTCATAACAAATTCTAAATTTTGAGTATTTAAAACCATGGACACTTGAAAATTAACAATAATCGCAGAACATCACTTCTTGTTAACAAGCTTTCTTATGTAATGTTTAAATGACTAAAATATAGTTTCCTGTGCAGAAATTATATAAAACAGCGTACTAGCAAAAAATTTAAAAAAAAATGATCTTGCTCATCGACTTTTGTCAATTTCAATTGTCCATAGTTTCAAATATTCCAAAAATTCGCATTTTTATGAGCTTTTAAAAAAAATTAAAAAATGAAGGTATATTTTTTGAGATGTTTGAGTTTTTAACACTTCATTTGAAATTTTACTCAAAATTTAAAAAAAAATATTTCTATTTTTGCGCTCTACAACTTTATCTTAGAAGTCACTTCGATCAAAAGTAACTAGCGTGCACAGGGTGGGACAAGGTGGGGCAATTGCAATAAGATTTTTATTTCCACATTTACCAAATTATATTATATAAATTACTTGATTTCTTGATACCTTGATTTGAAGGTTAGGTTAGGTTATCTTTATTAGCGAGACTTTCAGCCAGAGGCTGGTTCATTTCTTCTTGATTGGAGAGTAAAATAACTTCATTTCATAATATAAGGGCACTGAAAACCTTTTATTGCGTCAATTCCTTTGAAATGTTTTGGTCAAAAAATTGCACGACAATGATGCATATAATAAATTTCTGGAGTATTTTTTTCAAGGTGGTTCATGGAGGGTTAAAAGAAGAGCGTAAAATTAAGGTTGATAAAATCCACCTTCGTGGTGGTAAATCGAAGAAAAAGCTTTTATTGAATATTGGACTAATCAAAATGAATCACTCTGGTGGAAAAATTGAATCATGCTACAAATTTGGAGGTGCACATTCAACTGAAAATTTTTGGTGGAAGGTTCGCAACACTGCTTCATTGCTTCATTGAAAGTTTTTTGAAGAGGCGAAGCCTGAAAATTGCACCATAAAGGTGCATGGTGAAACAAACTTCTCTTACAATTTTTGGTGCACCGTTCTGGTGAATAGAGGAGCTAAAATTGAATTGAATTGAATTGAAAATTTCTGGTGCAATATTTGCATCACTCTGATAAATGAAATGAACCGAAAATTTCTGGTGGAAAACTTGCACTGGTCTGGTAAATGAAGGCACAAGCTTTATTTAAAATAAAGCTATATTGAAAACTTCTGGTGGAAAATCTGCACCGTTCTGGTGAACGGATGGGCAAGCTTTTCGGAAAACTTTTGGTCTTAAATGTGCATCCTCCTGCTGAATAGAGAAACAAACTTTAATAATAATTTCTGGTGCAAATTTGCACCATTCTGATGATTGGATGGGAAGCTGCTTTACTGAAAATTTATGATGAAAAATCTGAAAATAAGGGCAAGCTTGATTTGATGGAAAACCTGCAACCTTCTGATGATAGGAGAAGCAAGCTATATTGAAAATGTCGGGTGGAAAATGGAAAAAGGAAATCTGCACCAATCAGAAGATTGGAGAAGCAATTTTTATTGAACATTAACGGTGGAAAATTGGCATCGTTCTGGTCAATTGATATTTTCTGATGTAAAATTTTCTGGGGGCATGTTTATCTTGAAAATTTCTGGTGTAAGATTTGCAACAATCTGCTGCATGGAGGGGCAAGCTGAATTGAAAATTCCTGGAGTAATAATTGCACAGTTCTGGTAAATGGAGGGGGGAGCTTTATTGAACATTTCTTGTAGAAAAACTGCACCGTTTTGGTGAATAGACGGACAACTTAAACTTGACTTCCGAGAAGAACCTCAAGGGTATTGAATTCTGAGGACAGTTCCAAAAGAAAAGATTTCTGGGGATGATTCCATAAAAAATCTGCGAATAATTTCTAGTGAATCCTGCAGATAGCTCCAAGATAATTTCGAAAAGAATACCTAGAGAATCAATTTTGAATGAAATTCCAAAGGGATGTTGAGGAAAATTTCAAGGGAATCTCGAGAATAATTTCAAGCTCATTCTTGAAAAGAATTTCTGGTGAATACGGAGGAAATTCTTCTGAAACTTTAGGGGAATTTCAATTCCAATGTGTTCTGAGAAAAAAAAAAAGTTCTAATATATTCCGAGAAGAACCTTAAGGATATTGAATTCTTAGGACAGTTCCAAAATATTTCTGGGGAGAGTTCGAAGAAAATTCTGTGGATAATTTCTAATGCATCCTGCAGATAGTTCCAAGATACTTTCGAAAAAAATACCGAGAAAATCAAATTTTGAGAGAAATTCTAAAGGGATTTTAAGCAAAATTTCAAGTGAATTCAGAGGATAATTTCTAGCTCATTCCAGGAAAAATTTCTGAAACTCTAAAGGAATGTCAGTTCCAATAAGAATTTCAAAAGAGCTCTTAGGAAACTTCTAACAAAATCCGACAAGAACCTCAAGGATATTGAATTCTGAAAGGATTTCTGTGGAGTATTCCAAGAAAATTCTGCGAATGATTTCTAGTGAATCCTGCAGATTGTTCCAAGATAATTCTGAATAGAATACCTAGAAAATTAAATTTTAAGTGAAATTCCAAAGGGATTTTGAGGAAAACTTCAAGGGAGTACCGATAATTTCTAGCTCATTCCGGGAATAACTTCTGGATAATACTCAGGAAATTCTTCTGAAACTCTTAGGGAATTTCAGTTCCAAGATGTTGTGAGTAAAAGTTATGAAAAGTTCAAAAAATAATTCCAGATGATTTCTGAGAAGAATTTCAAAATAGAAAGGTAACTGAATGTAATGTGGCGGAACATTGCGAAAACCTTGCGAGCAGTTGGCGATTGTCATCAGGTATATTGATAATGATCGGCCGACGGAAACATTCGTGGGTGTGAGACGGGTGTTGAAAACAGACGCAACGACCATCTTCAATACTATTGCTGAGGTCCTGACAGCGATGCAGATTTCTTGGGAGCAGGTAATAGCAGTATGTTTTGACGGTGCCAGAACAATGGCTGGCAGCACTGCTGAAGTACAAGCCAAGTGCAAGAACAAAAACAGCAATATACTTTTATGAAGAGCTTTGAGTGTGTTGGTTTATTTCATTTTAATTCCGTTATGATTGCAGATACGCGTATTTTATCTACTATTATACTTGCAGACTTCATCAGTGCCAAGTACTCAACACCACAGACTGATCAAGATTGGATTGATCAATAGCAATATACTGTTTATTCACTGCTATGCGCACTGTTTGAACAACAACATTGCTGCAAATGTATCATTTCGGTTAAAACCCTACTATCGCAACCATTTGACAAACCGATCATCATCGACATCGCCGATGGGATTAAATTGCCAATTTCCATTGGCTGTCTGAAAGGCATTGAAGAAGATGAACCACCACCGGAGGAAAAAATAAATAAAATTAGCTAAATTGAACAGTAGGGAAACAGTGGTGGGTGGACAGCAGCATCCCCCACGCACTTTGGAGTACTCCCCATCCCAAGATTAAAGCACCATGGAAATTATATCGGATTCTAGTCTTCGAAACATTTTAAAGATTCGAAAACTTGGAAAAATGGTCAAAATTCCATACATAGAATCATTTTCAATATTGTGGGACTTGGAAGAATTTTTTCCGAGATATCAGAAATTAAAAATAAAACCAATTATGAATATGGCATTAAATCTGGTTTTGAAAGTTGGTGCACAGGTAAAAAGTGAGGTTACGGGACGCCACTGGGTTCCATATAGATTTGAATTGCCCCAAAATATAAAACACATTTTTTTTTCAGATTCAGAATCCCAGCATAGAAAAGTTTAAAAATTCCCAAACTTTGACATGACGATCAATTTGTACTTGGAATTTGATTCTAGGACTTCAAACGATTCAAATTTTTCTGTTCCTGTAACTAGAGAATTTTTCCGAGATCTTAGACTTGGACAACATTTCAGGATCCTGGTCAAAACATTTCGAAATTCTCGGACAAACAAGTCTCATGGAAAAATATATAAAATCCTAGACTTAGACAAGGTTGCAAAGACTCATTTCAGCTAAAATAATGTTTTTCGGAATAATAAAACCAAAAGATGGTATGATGGCATGTTTTACTTGTAACATACAAGAAGAGGTTACAAAGTATGCGTTGGAAACATAAAACCTGTAAATTTTGCTTTCTATGAGTCACAATCAGCGATTTGCTGATCGCTGAGTGAGTGAGTGAGTGAGTGAGTGAGTGAGTGAGTGAGTGAGTGAGTTTGTGAAAAATCGCTGATTGTGACTCTCATGAAGTGAAATAAACAGGTTTAATATGTCAAACACATTCTTTGCAACCTCTTCTTGTATCCTACCAATTCAAAATTTGATCATGGCATCTAATTATTTCATAATTTAGAAAAACATTGTTTTAGCTGAAATGAGTCTTTGCAACCTTGGACTTAGAGTAGTTTAAAGACTTTGACAAAAATTTCAAGATCCTAGACCAATTCCAGGACACGGAACACTTTTAAAGATTTTGGGACTTGAACAACTAAAAATAAACAGAATTAATCCACCTAAGGTGAAACCTGGCCCTCCTAACGTATTGATTTCATGTGTACCCGGAACAAGTTCAGATGTATCTACTGTGATGCTGGGCACTTGATCTAAACACCATTGCACTTGTTTTTGGATTCTCATGTGATTTGAGGTATCGCATAAAGGGTTTTGGTTTCAAGTCAGAAACTGGCCACTTCCCTTGGGGTACACGGAACATGTCCGGATGTGTCCAATGTGGTCAAGGGCACTTAATATAATCGTCACTGCACTTGGTTTTGGATTCTCATGTGATTTGAGGTGGCGCATGGCGCAATGATTTTAATTTCAAGTCATAAATTGGCCACTTCTTCTGGGGTACACGGAACATGCCCGGATGTGTCCAATTTGGTCCTACATGCTCAATATG